TTGAACCACAATACTGACAAGTGATTAATAAAAGTCAAAAGACCAAAGAGGTCACCTTAATACCAAAAAAAAAAAATTATGGCTTCTCTAATATTGCATTATACTTCTGCAATAGTAGAATTTCTATTTAGGTTCAAATTTCTTTTCAAAAATACATTTGAATTTTCACATCAGATATATAATTACATGATTTACAGGGTGTTTCATTAGCCAGTTTTACTGCTAAATTTTTTTTAAAACCTTTATTGACTATTAATTTATATACTTTTACAAATTATGAGTTAATAGAATTCTTAAATGCTTTAGAATTTATTAAAATAAGAGCATTCTTTTTACAAATTTTTTCTTTTACTTGCAAAAGTTTTTTTTTCTTTTTATTATTAAGTTTTGATTTTACTAAACTAACTTATTTAATATTAGCATTTGAACTTAGCAAAGGTTTAGAGTTTAGATTATTATTATTAAAACATATTTTAGCTATATATTCTTTTTGCCTATATTTGAAACATAATATCTTTTTTTAAACTCTTTTTTCTTTACATGTCTTGTATTTTTATTGAATCATTTTTTGTATCCTTGAAATTTTTTTACTTTAGTCTTATCAAGTTCTATTGGTGTTGTCTCAATATTCTCTAAGATGTTTATTTTCAAATTATTAACTTTGGATTCTCTTAAAACTTGATGTCCTATTTTGCCAATATTATATATCATAGTATTAAATATTGTTGCCAAATGAATTTCTTCTTCCAAACTTTTAGATACACAATAGCTAATTTCTGCCTTGGTTGCTAGTTTCAAACCTTCTATGAAATTGAGAATTTTATCTGCCTCATATATTTTTTCAACTTGCTTCGACAAATTTCTAAACTTTGAGGTGTATTCTTGTACTGTTAAGGTTTGTTTAATATTTATCAAGTGTTTTTTTAAATACTGCTGATGCTATAAAAATTAAAATGCCAATTTTATTTTAGCTAAAAATTCATCTCAATTAGTAAACAATTTTTTTTCTTCATGGCCTTGTACTTTATTCAGATACTACTAAAATGCAGCATCTTTTAACCTAGTTATTATATACTGCAAGCATTTCTCATCTTCAATCTTGCATGCTTTATATAATAAGTCAATCTAAAGTAACCAAGTTATAACATTTTCATTTTGCTTGTCATAAAATACCAATAGTTGAACTAATAACTCTTTAGTTTGTACAGCTTTATAAGTATATATCATGTTTTCAGTTGTAATTTGTATCTGAGCATTTTGGTATTAAAAAATTTGAACAAGCTGTATATTGATAGTTTTTTAATTTCTTATATATGTTTTAATAAACTTATTGAACTGTTGTTGAAATATGGCAATCTGATCATTTTGTAGTATTAAAGTGATCAATATTTTAAAATTTTTGTTTGCTGCTACCAAATGTAACTATGTAGATAAATATGTTTATTACTTAAGAAGTTTATTATTTATATTGATAAAAGAAAAAGGTAAGAATCTTTATTTACTAGAGATGTCAAACAAATTTAAACAAAAGTTCAAAAAAGAATTATGACATTTCTACTGATTTGCATAATTCCAAATTCCAAACCCAATCAAATAAACTTGTTATTATATATAGTAATTGTTTAAACCTCCTTATTGCAGCAATAGATACATTAATAATTCTGTTTGTTAGAAACAATGTAATATAACAAATTATTAAAAATATTTTATTACTTTAATATACATGATAAATAATTAGATTATACTATTTGTTATCTCAACTTTAATCATAATATTTTTTTTCTATTATCTTTAAACTTTTAATAATTCAATATTTACATACCTATTTCAAATATATTCTTTAATAACAGATAATAATAATACCTCCAAACTATTGCTAACTCAAATCACAATCTATCATCTATTTCATTCTACACTGATGGTTCTGTTATCAATTTTGGCACCTTACAGTGCTCTATGGGCATAGGTTGGGTTCAAGTTGATAACTCTACAACTATTAACTCATTTTAGGCACAAGTTAAAC